CACACTCAGCTCCGCAGGGCTGCAGAACGTCCTGGAGGACCGTGCGCAGACCAAGGGATTGACTCAGACCCCTGCGGAGACTCCCGGAGGGGCCAATGCGAGCTGCAGCCCCAGGCCTGTGACTCTGCAGGCTGCAATAAGGGGTGAGGCGCATGAGAAGGGGGTGGTGGGGGTGAGTCAGGGAGTAGGCTCTGGGGGCCCTGTCCTAACCACGCCCATGTGCCTGCAGCCCCGGTCTTCTCGTCTGTGACAGTTGTCTCTGTGCTACTCCTCCTGCTCCTGTTGCTGCTGCGTCTCCTGCGCCGACGGTGTGGGTGCTGGGGCAGGGCCTGAGGGTAGACTAAGCACCGGGAGCCTGACACCTTGGAGCCCAGGGGCGTGGGGCCCCGGTGGGGGACTTGGGGCCCAAGGTGGGAGGGAAGCTAGGAAGGGACACCTGTGCTCTTGAGGGGGTGAGGCCTTGAGTCCACACAGAGTCATGTGTGGGATCCCAGGCAGAATAGGACTCTGGACGTAGGACTGAGTAGGGGTCCAGCTGACATCTGCTCCCTCCCTAGGAACTGTCTGCTGGCTCCAGGAAAAGGGCCACCAGCGTTGGGACCTTCTCGGGGCCCTGGGAGAAGCTGGGCTGTGTGGTACCGCAGACCCAGAGGGATGGCTCTGCCCCGTCCCACCGGAGACCCCCCGGCTGAAGGTCCTGCCATGGGCTACCTGCCCCTGAGTGCCTCCAGCCAGAGTTCCTTGCGCTCCCTCATCTCTGCTCTCTGACTGCAACCCACAGGCTGCGTAGGACATTGGACCTTGTGCCAATGAGATGGACACCTGAGACATTATACTGCACCCTACCTCTCGGTCTTCTACCCCTTCAAAGGCAGATCGGCCTCTGGTCATCTTGGGGAGACCAGAAATTGGACAGGAAGCATCTAGTGCTATTGTTGGAACTTGGCCTGACCCTCTGGGTCCAGGTGAGCTAGGTCAAAGGACAAGAAAAATTCAGCCTTCCAACCCATGGACCTTGATGTGGGGGTGGTGCCTGGTTTCAGCAGTCTTAGAGTATCTCTTGTTGTGGTTCTGGACTCCTGCCCTCAGTGAAAGGTCAGCAGTCAACAAAAGTGTCAAAAGATCACCCTAGACTTAAAGGCCTATTTTGGTACAGACCTCAAAAGTTCTTACATGGAGGGGGCAGCTATGTTAATGAGGTACAGCAGCAGAGGATTGCCCTGTATTCGTGCAAATGAAAGGGGTTTCACAGAATGAATTTGGTGGAGCTTTCTGGAAAGGAGAGGATGAAGGGACCGGGCAGGAACGGACGGGTGTGTCCTGTAGAAGATGGGGAGGCAAATGCTTCTGGTCCCGCCCAGGGTGGAAGAGATGGGGCGGGCCTTCTATCTTCCCCACTGTTTCCTGCCTGTTCTGGACTGGGCCAAAGGTGCGTCTTGTGGGCGGGATAAGGAGCAAGTAGGGCCAGGCCCATGGTGGAAACCTCCTCCTCCTGGAGGCTTAGGAATCTGGGGAAATCACCTCCACAGTGGGGGCTGGCTCTCAGGAGCCTGACTGGACCCTCCCAAACTGGCCCACACTAGCAGCACCTTGGACAGAGCCCTGACTGCGAGATGGGGCTGGGGGGCGGGCTGTGCCAAAGGTGTGACAACCTGGGGATCGTGGGGAGGATCAGGTGTGAAATGCTGGGGGACATGAAATGCCAGGTCACTCCAGCAGAGGATGCGGAACCAGGACCTCGGGCCCCAAATCAACAACTTTCCCATGCAAACGAGGCTGGAACTGTACATATTATGCTAAGAGGAAGAGGCCTGGGCATCTCGGGAGGAGCTCCCCACCGCCCCAGCCCATTGGCCTGGGCAGTGCAGACGTCAGGAATCTAGCGCGCGAAACGCCAGCAGGGTAGCGGGGGCGAGGAGCAGGGGCGGAGCCTGACGTTCCCTCCCTAGCCCTGCCGCGCCCGTCCTCCGGGCTTCCGTGAGAAGACCCGCCGCCTGTAAGCGAGCGCGTCTTGCGAGGACGCAGCCAGCCGCTCTGCTCGGG